CCGCAAGCTAGTACTACAGGTCGTACTATATGATATAAGAATGTTGATTCCATGTTGATAGAAGTAAAAAAGTAGTCTTCCTCAAAATAACAAAAACCGCGAAAATCTCTCTGAAAACCGGGTAGTGAGGTGGAAATCTCCTACAAAAGTTAGTAAAAATTTGGTCTTTTTTAAAAAATTCATATATATTCTGAAAGAGGAAACTTCGCTGCATCTTCCTTTGATAAAAACTCGACTTCGATTACTTTACCAAAAAATGGATTTTCTGAGTGGGGGCCCTTAAGTAAAGAAGTTGATAAATAAAACAAATGAATTAATAAATACAAGCGATTCGTTTCACGAAATAACTTTTTTTCATAGGATAAAACTTGATTTTTATGTACGTATATGAAAAAAAGGTAAAGTTGGATATATTACAGTTGTTTAATGGACTTCAGTTTATATGTAGGTGGATTGTGAGCGAGTGGTTCCGGAATGTGAATCTCCGGACTACTTACACTCCACACACAATTTTCGTTTAAATTAATCGATTTTAATAGGTTGTTGATTTTGAATTAGTTAAATTAGATTTTTCAAAATGGATTTTAATCGATTTCAATTCAACAGCTGATTGAGCTTGGTTTAAGTGGAATAAAAGTCAAAAAAAATTTGGCTTTAGAATAAAAAAGTTCAATTGCAACTGAAAGCATGTCATTTTAATCTATAAACTGTTTTGAAGTTTGTCGTGTTTGATTATATTTTTAGAGACTGAAATCGAATCTACATTCAATATTTGAAAAGTACGTAGGCCCAATCGAATGAAAATTTTTTCATTCAGTTTGCTCTCTTGATCACAAACTCACCGGGAAATACCCCAAAAAAAAAACATTAAAAAATAGAAGTAGTTGAAATACATTCAATTACAGTTTGACAAATAAAACCAAAATAGAGATCAAATGTTATATTATTATACAAGCGAGATAAGTTTTTCGCTGAACAACAATTCTGATTATCTTATTTCGACATCCATCGAGTGAAAACTGAACCCAATACAACGAATAAAACCACGAATGAAAACTGTTGGCTGTCGAAAATAGCTAAGATATCAGGAACAAAAAAGCATAAAAGCACAAACCTTCAGATGTATAAGTTTAATTAAATTGACTTGATTATCTTATGTGAAACAGCTCCTTGATTCAACTAGATCACTCAAATAACAAAAGAAAAGAATAGCACTTTCAAACTTATAATCAAACTCGTCTAGTTGTTGTAAAGAGAAGTGTTAGTAGCTAACATGTACTCAGATGATGCAGACATATACTATAACTTAAATATTTTTTGATAGGTGCAATTCTCTTCCGATAGCTGTTAATTTATAACTTCATAAGAATACTTTGGTATAAGTTTATTAAAAAAAATATATTGTAATTTTTAACCATATACGTATATAAAAAAAAAACGTTGCATATTTGTATTAATCTCAAGATTGCGGAGTAATTTCTGTTTCGCTATGTCTTTTTGTATATGTTTAACTTAGTTCTTTGAAATAAATTGTTTTTACAGAAACAAGTAGTTTTGTTTTTATTATAAAGTTGTTCGACTAATTTTCGTTCCGAACAGTTTTCGCTTGTCCTTTTTTGATAGGAACACTCAGTACCCAAAATTTCGATATTTCAAACACTAATTATATCATTGTTTTTGGGCTCATGAGTATCAAACTTTCATGAGTAATTTTATTGTATTAGATCTATTTTCTATTGAACTTTTTCTTTTAAACAAATAAATGATCTTTGAGTATGTATGACTACATTAATAATATCACACTAAGTAACTGGTAAGTAATAAATGCGAAGAATATCGTTTTTCTGTAAAAATACCGGCTTACCCGAATTTCGCCAATAAGACTTTCGCCAACTGGACATTCGCCAATGGCGAAAGTCCAGTGGTACATTGGCGAAAGTCCAGTGGACTCTCGCCAATTGGCGAAAGTCACCAGAGT